ATAAATATTCTGATACCAGGTCTCAGTCTACATGTAACCTCTTTTTAGTCTTTTTTTTTTTTTTTTTTGGTCTTTTTTCCTTTTTATCGGTACCGGGGATCGAACTCACGACTGCCTGCTTTCAAGACAGGCGCTTATGCCGCTGAGCTAAACCTCCAGCCCCCATTATTTTTTAAAATTATTTATTCCACTGTTTTGAAACATTGCATTTTTTATAAACACCTATGTGCCTGTGACGATGCAGACATATGATACCCTCCCATGTGTGTCAGGCGAGGCTGTGTTCCATCCTGCCAGTTTCTACATGCCCACCCCTGACAACAGGTTACCACTGTAACTAGTTTCTTATGGGTCTTCCTAGATTTTCTTTGCATCTATTCAATCAAACACAATACAGCTTCTAATGGTTACACCTTTGTGTGCCCCATTCTGCATTTCAGTTTTTATACTGTTGTCTTAGAAGTCTTTCCAGATCAACAGAAAGCTTCCTCAGAAAGCTCCTCATCAGTGTTCACTGCTGCATACACAAGTAACCTGTGTGTGCCCTCGTTCATTTAACCTGTCCCCAGTTGGTGGCCATCTATGTTGCTTCCAAATGGTTGGGCAGTAAGTACCCTCTGTGTATAGACATACTTCTGACATGTATGTAAATGTCCAGAAGGCCAGACCTTGTGGCAAACACCTGAAATCCCAGCACTCTGAGAGGCAGAGACAGGAGGATCACAAGTTCAAGCCCATCCTGGGCAACACCATGACTCAACATGACCTTGTCTTAAAATCAAAATTTGAAAAAGTTTGGGTGCAACTCAAGTATGAAGGCCCTGAGTTCAGTGCCCTGGGTTCAATCCCCAATACCTTAAAAAAAATTTTTTTAAAGAAGGGGAGGAGAGAAGAAGGGAGTGATGCGACCCTAAGGTACCAGGCTGTTCCGCAGTCCGAGCGCACACTGACCACCCCTCCCCACAGAAGCCACTGCTGAAATCAGAGGGGGACCCCCAAAGCACAGCAGTGCTGGGGTTTTTCCTCCATACTGGTTTCTGGGGATGGGAGTGTATAATAGAATTATCAGTGTTACTAGTTTAAAATACTTACCCTGCTTTGTGATTTTATTTTTAGTGTTTTTAAGAATAGTTTGAGAAATGATTCATAGAACACAATTCTATCAAAAGTGTACAGTTAAATGGCTTTTAACATGCTCAACTGTGAATGTGCCGTAGGACATGGGGCCTGGTTGGAAGCGGGTCACTGGTGATGCCCCGGAAGGACTTACCTCCCTCTCTGGCTCCTTCACCTTTACTTCCTGGTCATGCGATAAGCAACTTTGCTGTGCTCTGCTCCCCTGCCATACCTTAGTCTTGGAGCCACCAACCAGGGGCTGTCATCGTGAGCCAGAATGAGCCTCTGGGCTCCTTGCAGAGACCTGGTCATGCCATCTTTAGACCTGGCTTTACTTCCTCCCACCAACTTGTGTACTTTTCACTTCATCTCATTTCCTTCCAGAGTATCTTAGATAGAACCTTTTGTACAATATTGAATAGAAATGGCAGAGCAGACCTCTGATCTTCATTCAAACCATTCTTTCATCTTAAAGCACGTAGCATTTGACCACTGAGTGTCCTGTTAGCAGTGGCTTTTTGTGGATGGTTTTTATCAAGGTGAGAACAATCCTTTCTATTCCTGAATTTCTTGTGAACTTCTACCATGATACGGAGTTGAATTTTTCAAGTTTTTTTTTTTTTTTTTTTGTCTTTTTCGTTTTTATCGGTACCAGGGATCGAACTCACGACTGCCTGCTTGCAAGGCAGGCATTTATGCCGCTGAGCTAAATCCCCAGCCCCAAATTTTTCAAGTTTTTTATCCATGTCTATTGAGATGATCATGTGTTTTTGTCCTAATTACATTGATAAATGTTTATATGTGAGACAATCTTAGATTCCTGGTGTGAATCTCATTTGATCATGAGATATATAAGCCTTTTTATGTGCTGCTAGATTTTATTTGCTTGTATTTTGCTGAGCTATTTTTTTTCATAAGTTTTATAAACTGTACTCTGTAGCTTGCTTCTCTTTTGAAATATTTTCCTAGTTTTGATATCAGGGTAATGTTGACCACATAAGATGTTCTGTTCTCTCCTACTTTTTGGAAGAGTTTGTGAAGGAATGTTATTACTTCATTAATACCAGAGTTTTCTCATCATCTCAAGTCTTCTGAGCTTTGGTTTTTCTTTGATGAGAGTTGAGGATCTTGTGGTTTGTTTTTCTTTTTTTAACAAATTAAGTCTCTTGTTATAGGTATATTTAGACTTTATATCCCTTCTTGAAGCAGTTCAGAATCTGCTCTAGAAATTTGTCCAATCTGATTATCTAATTGAAGTTATCTAGGTTGATGGCTATGTGAGTTTGTCAGAGCTGCCATAACAACACTGATAAAATTTTTATTTTGTCACAGTGTGAGAGGCTGGAGGTCAAAACTGAGATGTTGGCAGGGTGGTAGAGATGACCACCTTCTCGGTGTTTCCTCATGTGACCTGATGTCACGAGAGCATCCGTGGGGTCTCTTCCTCTTGTAAGGACATTAGTCATGTTGGGTCAGATCCCACCCAGTGGCCTCCTTTCACCTTGATTACCTCCTGAAGAACCCTTCTCCAGGTCCAGTCCCATCCCAAGGTTCTGGGGTGTAGAGTCTCAGCACATAAACTTTTGGGAAGTCCAGTTCAGACCATAACAATGGCATGCCACAGTTCATGGCATTCACTTATGGTTCTTGTTTCCTTAGCATTGCTGGTAATACCCTCCCACTTTCATTCTTAATTTTAGCAACTTATATATATCTCTCTCTCTCTCTCTATCTCCCCCTTCTCCATCATTCTAGAATTAAAGAATAGAATTTAACATGTACCACTCAAAGAACAAACTTTCGGCTTGTCGATTTTCACAATTGTTTCCTGCTCATTTCTGCTTGCTTTGGATTCAGCTTGCTCTTCTGTTTTGAGGTTTTTATTCTTTTCTTAATACAGGTACCTACAGCCATGTATTTCCCTCTAGGTCCAGATGGCCCTCCATGGCCACCAGTCACACATCGATAGACTCCACATGTTCTGCATCCACAGATTCAACCAACTACTGAACAAAAATATTTGGAAAAAGCCAGGCATAGTGGCTCAGCTTGTAATCCCAGCACTTGGGAAGCTGAGGCAGAAGGATCACCATGAGTTGGAAGCCAGCCTAGGCTACATAAGTGAGTTCAAGGCCAGCCTGCACTACATAGCGAGACCTTGTCTTAAAAACAGGAAAAAATTGTATTCATACTGAACATGTACAGACGTTTTTCTTGTCATTATTCTCTGAACAATAGGGTTTAACAACTATTTACATTGTGTTACATTGCATTATACTGAATTATAAGTATTCCAGAGATGATTTATATAAGAGAGGATGTGTGCAGGTTCGATGTACAAACTACTCCATTTTGTATAAGAGAATTAAACATCTGCAGGTTTTGATTTCTGCTGGGGTGCTGGAGCCACTTTCCCACAGATAATGGGGGATGACTGATGTCTTCAGAGGCATCCCAGAGGTTGTGTTTAATTTTAATTGACCTTGAAATAATATCTAATTTTCCTTGTACAATTTATTTTTTTATATACCTAATTATTTCGACCAAGTATGTTGCATGGGTCATCCTCATTGCTGATTTGAGCTGCTATATTTTTATACTCAATTCTCATGCATATTCATATCTATTTCTTACTGTCTTTTTTGTTCCATTATTTTGTTTGTATACTAATGTACCAATACCACAGTGTTTCATTCATTGATGCTTTTAAACATATCTTATTATATCATCATTTAAACCTCTCCTCTTTTCTTGTACTTCTCAGGATATTTTTAGCTATTCTTGTCTATATATTTCTATATATCAACATTATATGTTTGTCTAGTTAAAACATTCTAATAATCCTAATAGCCATTTTAATAATATCTAAAGCCATTGGTTTATTTTCTTAGGATCACATTAAATGTATAAGTTAACAAGCCAATTGGCATTTTTTTGACATTCAAGTATTCTCACTCAGAACATTATATTTCTTCACATTTGTTCAGGTCTATTTTCATGATCTTCAGAAATATTTTTTGTTTTATAAAATTTTTACCATGAAATTTTCAAACATAGAAAAACAGAATAATACAATGAACCATCACCATGGATCTGCCACCCAGCTGCAGAATGACCAATTACCAACACATGGTGATTATTATTTAATATGACTTATTCCATCAATACTTATTTACTTTAAAGAGAATAAAACCAAACAATAAAACCGAATAAAGACAATCAAAACAAAACAATGAAAGCAATACAGGACTTCAAAAAAGATAATAGGAAATCAAAGGACCAGGAATATAGCTCAGTGGCATAAGCATTTATCTGGCAAGTATAAGGTTGTGAGTTTGATCCCCGGTACAAACAAAAAATGTGGGAAATCGGGGCTGGGGATTTAGCTCAGCAGCATAAACGCCTGCCTTGCAAGCAGGAGTTCAATCCCTGGTGCCGATAAAAAGGAAAAAGACACACACAAAAAAATGTGGGAAATCAACATCAATATTTAAAAGAAATCCTAGATACTATGTTTAAAATAATAACAAAGTTTTCTTAAGTAGTCTTACACATTTCTTATTAAGCTTACCCATAAGCCTTTTATTCAACTATTGTTATTGTTTATTTACACATGAAAACATTTCTATGTATTCATCTCATGACTTTCTATTATTTTTAAAGTATTTGTCCTCATTTAAATTCATTGACTTGAACAACAAAGTGAATTACCATTCTTCATAAATTTTCAGAGACTTGTCTGTGTGTTTCCCTGGACTGTTTGTTAGGAATATGCTAAAATTGCAGCTGTAAACCAGTTAGTAAACTACCAATCTTTTCCAAACAATGTGGGATTCTGGCCTGAAACATAATGACCAACCTGTGTGGTGGCCCAGCCAGTTTACCTGGATTTCTGTCCTCGAAGTGGTGGGAAGAGGTGAGACTCCTGCTGGGCTGTCTTGGGTTTGCCGCAGCTTTGTGCTGTGTGTCCTTTTGCTCACTGCTGTTTTCCAGTGGACCTGAGCGTCTCCCTGGTGATTCAGTTAGGCCCTGAGAGTTACTGCTCCAAACCAACAGGGACCATTTCATTCTTTTGTATTCTTTGAGCAGCACTGATTTGCTGAATCAGGTACCCAGCTATGGTATAAAAAATAGTCTTTTAGATAACTTCTAAATAGCACCATGACATTCCTCTTTAGAAGAGCTTTATTTTCAGACTTTCGGAGTTCAGACAGACCTTTGGTACTAGGAATCGAATTCACAACCTCACGTTTGCAAGGTAGGCGCTTACACCACTGAGCTAAATCCTCGGCCCAAACAGATCCTTTGGACACTTTTGTGTCATTAACCGATCCAGCTGTTGTGCCAGAGCAAATTCGGGGACCTGAGTCCCTTATTAAGTAAGGAAACGTCTGGCTTGAGGCGTGTGTGTACACACCTCACAAGCACAGTACTAGGGTTTAAGCCCTGGCCCTTGCACACCCCTCACGGAGCCTCATCCCAGCACTTTTTGTTTTTACATTTTAAGATAAGGTATCACTAAGTTGCCTAGGTTAGGCATGAATTTGTCATCTTCCTGCCTCAGCCTCCTGAGTAGCTGAGATACACAGCATGCACCACTATGTCTGTCTTGGCTTGAGTCTTTGTGCTGTAGCCTACCTCTGAAATAGTGTGTGGTCTTTCTGTGCTGCATTATTTTCTGAAACCAAATAGAGGCTTTCTTTTGGATGTACCTAGTACCATGATATATTAATTCTAGTTATTTAAAAGAATTAAAGCAACCATAAGAAAAAAATATTTTCTCCTAGATTGCAGTGAGTTCGTTGATATGGTACTTCTAGAATCAAAAATTCATGGAGATAAATATATCGCATTAAAATATGGTTTCTGGGGAACGTGTGGAGAGTTTTGATGTGGAACATGATGACAGGTCACTTGACTTTGACCAAGCTAATTACTACTGCTACCTACTGGAGTAATCCTTGCTTCATGGAGTCATTACAGGGAGGGAGTGAATTAATGCATGTGACGTACTTAGAATGGCACCCAGCGCATAGTAACTCCTAGTGAGTGTTAAATAAACAGTTAAACCTGAATTCAGAGAAGCTGACCTTTCTAAATGTAAGACCAGTTTAAGGAAACAATTGAAATCTTAACCGCCTGCTTTTCCTCAGCTCACCTTTATTGAGTGAACTTCTCTCCTAATCCGCAATGAGGTTGCTCACCGAAATAATCTCTCTCTTTCTAAGACTCACCAGTTCTCAGTCCAGCTAATTCTGCAGTCAGCGTAAGCGGCGCTCAGGACCTGACCCGGAATAAGAACATTGTGAAACCACTGGCTTTATCTTTGCAGACCGTAGGGAAGACTTTTGCCACAGGTGATTTTCCTTTCTTACATTGTTTGGGTAAATACGTCATTTGTGAGAGACGTGGTAACATCTGTCATCACGTAATTCTGGATGAAGTCTTGCATTCTCTCTGTGCCACACCAGAGAGTCAGAATCACGTTTGTGACACTGCAGAGACACTGCGGCTGGGACTGTTCACCAAACGTTTCTTGGGCACCAGATGTGATTCGCCCTACAAAACAAACAGGGAATGGTTAGGACTTTAGGCTATAAACACAAATGTCCCAAAACCAATATTTAGGATATGAAAACAAGGCATAGCAAAAATAAGGGTCCCAGGAGTCCTGGCAGTCTGCTGAGGGCGGTGGGCCTGTAACAAGGCACCTTCATTCCCCAATGATTCAGGGAGTGAGCAGGGCTGAGTTTGGGGAGGAGTTTGGTCTTAATAACAAGGAGGCACTGGCAGAAGAGTGAAGGAAGGCATTTAAAACTCAAGGATGAGCAGGAGGAAAGGAAAGTAAGAGCCGGGCATGTGCAAAGACTCCTGCAGTCTGGACCCGTTAGAACCATGAAACCTCCAATGCAGGGAGTGGCAGGAGATGAACAAGCAGTGAGCCAGGGAAAAGTCCTGGTGCTCGAGCTGAGAAGCGTGGGTTTTACTCTGTGACTTGCGGGGAAGGGGAATGACAGGGGCCCAGGAGGGAGGAGAGCTAGCCGGAGGTCATTTCAGTAGTATGAGTGAGAAATGATGAGGTCCTTGGCCAGAGGAATAGGTTGGAGAAGAGGAGACGAGCTGCAGAGCTACCCGAGAAGTAAAATCAACAGCACCTGATCAATTCATGGGAGCAGGAGGGAGAAGGGGTCTCAGCGGATGTCCGTCTAGCTGGGTAGCAGTGTCATCACCTGAGACAGGGACTACAGTCAGAGGAGCAGCATCTCTAGGAGATTGTGCGCACACATTGAGTCTGGGTTATCCCTGAGATGTCCAGGGAGCTGTTCACTATCATTTAATTCACCATCATGGGAAATCAGGACTGGTTAGAGCTGAGCCACCACCTTATAATTAACTCATCAGGGTAAATACGATTCGCCAGACATGGAGAGGGGCTTCAGACTGCAAACTAAGGATGGAATCCTACAAAAGTCCAGGGTTTAGGGCCAGGGATTTAGCTGAGTGGCACAAGTGCCTGCCTGACAAGTGTAAGTTTGTGTGTTTGATCCCCAATACCTAAAAAAACAAAACAAATAAAAGCCCAGTGTTTAAGGAGAAGAAACAGAGACACTGAACGGCGAGGAGAAAAAAAGCCTTCTGCTCAGTTAGGAATCATAGTTGTGCACGCACCTTTGTTCTTACTCAAACCCAGTGACTCTTGCAGGACTCACCTCTGGTTGGATTACAGACTTGAACAAACTGGATTCAATTTTCACAGCATTAAAAAAGTCAATGAAGTAATGTCAGTGAGCATCTTGGTTAATAAAGCCATCAGCTGAGAGGCTGATCAACTTCATAATGCAAGGGTTAGGTTGTACTTCTTTTAATTCACTGATCACTCTTAATATCATTAAAAAACAAAAACTGGTCATTGTGAGGCTCCTGGAAAGAGTGTGCAACAGTACCCAGGAGATCCTTTAATCAGGAAGAAAAAAAAGAATGTGAATTTGATCGTCTCTCTGTTCACTAGAAATACAGAGAACAAAGGAGCATTAACTGATACCTTAGTTATCCAATAAACAAAATCCAGAAAATGGAATATTCTGCCAAGTTTACAGAGTGAAAATAAAATTAGTTGCCAGAAAAAAAAGAAGGGAAATCCTATAAATTAAAAGAAGTTTAAGGGATGTATCAACTAAATTCAGATGTTTGAATCTTTTTGAATCTCAATTTGAAAAAAAAAAACCTGCTATAAAAATCATTGTGGAACAACTGAAATACTCATGGGATAATTAATGATACTGGCTATTAATCAGTGCTAATTTTAGGTGTAGTAACACATTAGAGTTAAATTTTTGAAAAACAGTATTTTAGTAACACATATAGAAGTATTTACAGATGAAGTTATATGATAAACAGGTTTGTTTCAGAAAAGCCCAGAGCATGGGGGGGGGGGTAGGGGAAAGAGGCTCAGGGCACAGGAGAAGCAAATGGGCTTCGTGCTGAGACGCGGTGAAGTTGTGTGGTGGGCAGGCAGAAGTTCGTTGTGCTGTTCTCTCTCCTTTTGTATATGTTTGAAATTTTTCCATGCTGCGATGTTATAATAATAATGATAATGATAATAGGTTTCCTCATTCCACCCACGACCTCCAGAGACTCCACTGAAAATCCTCCTGGTACCAGGCATGGTGGTGCACGCCTGTAATCCCAGCACTTGGGGAGTGGGAGCCCATCCTGGGCTACGTAGTCAGCTCATTGCTTTCGGCAAAGCCACTACCTGATCAACCTCACACTGGAGAATTCAAGGAACTCTCACTGATAGGACTCAAGCCAGTCACGTAACCCAGCTTGGACTACACAGCAAGACCTTGATTCACAAAAGCTGAAGAGAAAAGAAAATGATTCTGAAAGACCTCTTGGGCTGTTAGAAAATGATTCTCAGGGCTGGGGATTTAGCTCAATGGCATAAGCACCTGCCTTGCAAGCAGGCGGTCATGAGTTCGATCCCCGGTACCAATAAAAAAAAAGAAAGAAAGAAAATGAATCTCAGAAACACATTCTCCTCATTGACGTATGCATCATCTAACTGTAATGAGGGCCCTGCTCGCTGCCGTTGGCTCTGTGTGACTGGGCTGAGTCCTGTCTGGGATGTTCCTCAAATCCTCAGTGTGAGGCTGCTCGGAAGGCGGCAGCATCACAGAAAGCAGCGTTCGCCCAGCCTCTGTGCTGACCAGCTTCTCTCCTGTCCTGCAGATGCTGCAAATGGGAACAGCAGCCATGCGGGGAAGACCACCGCGCCCAGCTTCACTCCAGCCCGCCCGGGGAGCTACTCCCTGTCACCACGGCCTGGCTACGCATCTGTAGACCAAGGTACAGCATCCACTGGAGTTCGTTATGCCAGCACCGCTGCAGATTGTCGAGTGGTCTGACATGCACTCTGGAGTTTACTCTTTGCTTGTTATACAGTGTCTTGAAAGTTTATGATTAGCCTGAGCAGTAATATTGAAATTGCATGGGGGCTGGGGATTTAGCTCAGCGGCATAAGCACCTGCCTTGCAAGAAGGCAGTCGTGAGTTCGATCCCTGGTACCGATAAAAAACGAAAAAGACAAAAAAAAAAAAAAAAAAAAAAGAAAGAAAGAAATTGCATGGAAGAGCCTAACTCGGTAGTAAATGTTGAAACAAATGGATGAGAAAATCTCTGTAACAGCCGCGGATTTGGCTGACCAGTGTATAGAGCTCAGGGTCCCTCTGTGCATGTTATTCCTCTGGGCATAACACTTCTCCTACAACCTCCCAGGGTTGTCATTGAAACAATCTGAATAACATTGTAAAACAGCATGCAGATTTTTAGGCATCATTAGTGTAGTGTTGGATGGGTCAGTGGGGCTTTTTCTAACTTAATCTTTACCTCTAGAAGAGTAAATTAGATCTTCTGGATAAATTAAAGTTCCTGTGTCACTTTGGCACTCGTTTTGTTTCCCCATTTTGGAGGGCAAGGCCATCTTTGTTTTTTGTCTTCAGCCACCATGTTCATTTCCGGGCCACCAAAGAAACGACACCGGGGATGGTATCCTGGCTCGCCTGTCCCCCAACCTGGTTTAGTTGTACCTGTTCCTACCATCCGCCCGCTTTCAAGAATCGGTAAGATTTTAACCGAAGATAGGTTTTAAAGATTTTGTTTGTTTTCTAATTAGTAAGGATATCTTGTAGTCCTGTTCTTTCCCTGAATCCTTGAAGGTAAAATTTCCTTCCTTGCACCCAAAATTACGTAAGGCTATTGACAGGAGCTAATATTTTGTCCCCGGCACCTCGCCCTTCTCCCTGGCACATGTGGTTCCCAACTGACTTGAGTTCGGCCTTAGGCATGGTCTTAATCCACAGCACCGGGAAGCCATTCACGGGGCACAGGTGGACTTGCTTTGTCGGTAGTGGCATTACTGGCTCTTTGTGTGACCTGAGCTTATTTGGCCCGTGTGGTTCTGTCTGTGGCTGGAATCTGCAGGACCACCTGGCTCTCCTGCCTGCTAGCCAGACGGTGGCTGTTGAAACACATGGTTAAACAAACATTTGTCCACCTTCTACTAAATAGACCACTCCTGAGACACAGGTGGGATTCATTAAAACTTAAGTTTGCATAAATAAATAATTGTAAAGATGGCGGAGATCTTACACACACGAAGAATTATGGCAGTGTGTTCGTGATGGTTGTCTCTGGGTGAGACTGATCGGTGATGAAGCTCTCCCTTTTCATACTTGTCTGTACTTTTCAAAGTTTATACAGTGAACAAATATACTTTTTCACAACCTGGGAAGTGGGGAGAAAAATTCCAAACAAGACCCTAAAGATTATGTGTGGAAAAAAGAACTAGAATGAAAATTACTAAAATGCCAAGTGGTAGGTATCTCCCAAGGAGATGAGCATGGTTGGTTTTCTTTCTCCTAATTTTATGTAACAGACCTTAACTGCTTTTTCTTAAAAAAAAACCACGAACCCATTCGATTTATAAAACTTCTGTAGCCATTAGATCAAAACCGCATTGTTTTTCATTGTGTTTCCTTTAGCTTCCATGTCGAATCCTTCTTGTTAAACAACTTTTTTTTTTCCCCAGAACCCCTTTTATCTGCCCCAGTTCCACAGACCCCATTAACTGGAATTTTACAACCTCGACCCATTCCTGCGGGGGAAACTGTAATTGTTCCTGAAAACCTGCTGAGTAACTCAGGCGTTAGACCCGTAATCCTGATAGGTAAGGCAGAGGAATGCCAAGGTGCTGTGTTCTCTGGAATCTAGGAACGCTTCTCCCCGGCACTGCATTCGTGCATGTGAATGCATTTATACTTCTATTGATTCTTTGAGCTTTTACTGGTCAGCGCCTTCATGCTGTATTAAACATGTGATTAGAAACCAAGGATAAGGCAAGGTCTCCTTGCCCTCAAGGAGCACTGGTTTGTGGGGGCCTCTGACGCCTCACTAACTCTGGGAGTGTCAAACAACCTTTACCACATACTGGGACACGGGAGATCCAGGAGCTAGCAGAGGTCACAGCCAAGAGCTCCGTAACTCAGAAGAGAGAGGACTGACTTCTGCCTGGAGGGCCTGAGCAGATTTCTCAGAAGTGTCCAAGCCAGATCCCGAGGTTGCTAAGTGCGGACAGGAGGAGGAGGGGACATTCCAGTCAAGGAGCCAAACCACAGGCAAAGAAACCAGCTAAACCAGCTACAAACCTCACTGGAGGGCACCCAAGGTCTGAACCCAGGGAAGCACCTTCGCATCAGGGTCCCTGGGGTCTGTGTCCTTCCAGGCCACCTGAGAGTGGAGGGGCAGAAATGCAGGGGCCTGCAGGCTGCAGAACCAAAGGAGTGCATTTCATAGCCACTGTGCAAGTCGCCTCAGCTGGGGCTCGCCTCAGCCAAAGGGGGCTCTGCTTTACCAGGAGAGAACAGGGAGAACCTGCCTGCAGGAGAGTGTTGTCCGTTCTGGAGGTTGGCCTGAGTTCACCAACTTGGTTTTGTTTCAAGCCCTGTCCCTGTCATTGATCCTAGATCTGTAAGCACTGTGGGAATCCTAGCTGTTCAGATCCTACATGGCTTAGGAAGTTCTTTCTAAACCTTAGCATAGTGCAGCTAAGCCTTGGAAAGATGCGTAAAATCCAGGGTTCTTTGGTAGCTGCCTTTTAGAAAGGTTTTTGGACAACCTGTCCTATCCATCAGACCCCCAGAACAGAGTATTTTCAACATAGTTGCATCTTATCTACTTTTAAGATGATCTGAGGCTATTTACTAACATTCAAGAAGAAAACTTAACAGAAATCTCTCAGATAACAAAAGGAGTGCTGCATGCCTGTAACCCCAGCGCTTGGGAGGCTGTGTCAAGGAGAATGGCCCTGAGTCCAAGGCCAGCCTGGGCTACATAGTGAGCCCCTGTCTCAAAAAAAAAAAAGGCAGAATATTGCTGTCCATCACTGAATTTTGCTCAAAAGATTTTCCCCCAAAACTTCAGGAAGTGAAACATGTTACTATGGTTTGTTTACTCTCTCACCTCAATAGAAACGTGGTCAGGAATTTAAGCAGAAGGTATTTTTCCATCACCATTTTACAAAGGGTCCAGAACATCCTGCAGACTTGTCCGTTTTCTATGGCAGCAATATCACACTAACACCAGTCCCTCCTGTGGGAAATGGAATGGGACTTGAATATTTTGCTTCATGTTCGTCTGCTTTGATTTAGAGGTGCAGTTTGGAGCATCCAGGAGTCACAGAGGCTGGTGTACTTGGACTGCTTGTTTGTTTGTTTCGGTAGCCGTCTCAGGGGGCAGGGAAATTTGTTAAGCACCTTCGTCCCGCATCAGCACAGATGCCGGGTTAGCGCTCAGAAGGAGACGTTGCATTGTACTGACCCGCTTCTGTTGGGCAGGCTATGGCACTTTACCCTATTTCTATGGAAATGTCGGTGACATCGTGGTGAGTCCGCTGCTGGTGAATTGCTACAAGATCCCCCAGTTGGAAAACAAAGATTTGGAACAATTAGGGTTGACTGGCAGCCAACTCCTGAGTGTGGAAAATATGATCCTTCTGACGATACAGTATCTTGTGCGGCTTGGTAAGTTATTTTCAATAAATCGTTGGCTGGTGACTGTTTTTATTCTTTTTGGTAGAGCGCTGGTTCATTTGTTTCTCATGTTGGTCCACCTGCCCGTCTGGTTGTCCTTCAACCCTGTCCTGTCTTTTCCCTTCCCTCTGCTCCCGACTCCTTTCCTTAGCACAGCTCCTTTGGGTCCTAACAGAGACGAACCGCTCCCCCTAGCGTCCTCCCACAGGAAGCGGACTGCAGGGAGCCTGTCTGGGAAGCCAGGCGGGCCACCCCCCAAAAGCTCAGCTATGCAAGCATGGCCATTGTTTTAGACAATTATTTTCCAGTTTTCTGATTATCCTTTTTATTTTGTCTCCTAACTCTGCACTCATTTTTTTATTGTGTCACACCCCTTTCATGTAGCCCCAAGTTTTCCTTCAATTAGGGGGTAACTGTGGGCTTTTCTGGAAGGTTCTCTAGGCGTTAGGTAAAGAGGCTGCATAGGTCATGAACCCTTTGCTTTCCCTACTGCTGTACCCCTGGAGCCCTGCAGTGCTCCCTGCATGCAGGTGTCCTAACAATACTGTCTTGTTTAGCAGAATTTGCATTGAAATGTCCTTTATTTTGCAAACCTCAGAAACCCTTTGAATATGCAGCCTAATTGTACACTCACTCCAGGAATCAAGACACTGGTTTACTTAGAAAATGTGTGAGATGTAAAATTGCACATAAATAATTTTGTATGCAGTCTTATGATCTTTATTTAGAAGAAAAAAAAAGACTGATGTTAATAACAACAACAATAATAATAATAATAAACACTGGGATAAACAGTGTTCAGAAACCAAAAGTTTCAGCAAGCCAGGTTCAGCCTTTGTAGCACAGGGCAACAACCTGGCTAGAACCGCCAGTTCCCAGACAAGCAGGTGACATGGGCTCCTCTTTGACAAGGACTTTGGAGCGGGCGAGATTTTCTGAGAACCTCTCTAATGACAAACCTAGTACCTACAGATCATACTTATTAGGAGGTAATAAAATTATAAAAACAAAACAAAAAGGACAGGGGTTTAGCTCAGTGGCGTAAGTGCCTGCTTGGCAAATGCGAGGTTGTGACTTCAATCCCCGGAACAACAAAAAAAAATTATAAAAACACCTGGCTTTACAATTCATTTGATATCGTGATTCTAATTTGCTATATACTGCATTGGGGTGGTATTCTCACCCTAAAAATAGTTTCTAGATGTACCCAGAATGAGTTCATAGTAATAACAATAATTCATAGACCAAGCCATTTACTTTTTTTTTTTTTTTTTTGTCTTTAGCACAAAAATCCCAGGACCTGTGACTGAGCTACATCCCCAGCCTCTATTTTAATTTTATTTTTTATTTTGAGAGATGGTCTTACTGAATTCCCAATGTTGGCCTCAGCCTCCTGAACCACTGGAATTAGTCACTGTATCATTTTTTTTTTAGCTTTAGTAATGATTTAAGAAACCAGAGGCCACGTTAGTTAAATTAACCACATGGTCAAAATAAAATGCCTTTCATTAAGTGACTAGAAGCTCTTACCTTAGAAAATTTCAGTTTAATTACAGAAGACACTTCTGCCCAGAGGGTCAGTTCTCTGCAGAATTTTACTCCCAATCAGGTCTCTCAACATCCAACATGAATAGCTATTTCTTCCTCTCTTTCTTTCCGTCTTTCTTTTATTCACTTTTTTTTTAAACTAGGGGTTGAACCCAAGCCTTTGCACTGATTATATCCACAGCCTTTGTATTTTTAATTTCAAGATAGGGTTTTAATAAGTCACTAAGCTGCTCAGGATGGGCTTGAACTTGTGATTCTCCTGCCTCAGTCTCCCGGAGCGGTAGGACTGATGTCCACCCCACGCCTGGCTCTCTTTTGTTTTTAACTTAAACTTAAACTTGGGATTTCCTTGCCCTTCAGCTAACTGTTCAGGATTCCTCGAAAACAAATTTTTTTTTTTTGCCTTCAAAGATTTTCAGAACAACAAGAATAAACATAATAAGCATTTTTTTAAAAAATTCAAACTTCTAGAAAGAGAGTGCTGACCCTCTAAGGGCCCTGATACATTGTGGTAATGAGGTAAAAGAAAACCAAGATTCTTTAGAAGGAACAGGCCTTTCCACCACAATCACTTTTTGAGATTTTTGTGTGCTATTTCACAATCTTGAAATCTTTTGAAGTAGATAAGGAAATCAGCAAACCCAGACCTGGCTGGAGGGCTCTGGGCCTGTTGGAACCTTGCCCTTTCCTGTGGAGCTTCCTCTATCTGAAAAGCGGAGAGAACTGACATCTGAACTTCACTGAGCTCCAGAGATCACTATGTGAAGGGAAAAATTCCTACCATCAGGCTGCAGACAGGGAGGAAGGCGCCTGCCGTCCGCTGGAAGGCCCGGCGATGAGCAGCCATGTCCGCAAGCAGGAGCAAAGCGTTCCGCTCGCAGAGGGCTCGTCCGTCCCTCATTTAACAGGGAGTCTTTTCCCGCCTCCGTTTTCAGCTCTTAACAGTAATTCAGTCAGAACTCTCCAAAAGTAAAGCATAAGATAACAGAGAGTGCTGAGAGTATTTGGATAGTTTTATCTTCCCAGAACGTCTTGATAGTTGGGGTGAGGGATGCTCCTTGATGGGATACCTTAGTCCTGGTTTGAAATGGGTCTTGGTGTCACACGTGTGAACCAGCCTCTGAGCCTTCAGGTTGTCAGTGAAGGGGGCCAGGGGAAGTGGAGACAAGGCTACCTGCTCTGCGCTGTCGAATGTTCTGATGAAAGAAAAATTTGGCCCCACCTTCCTAAGAGTCTTTGGGAAGCAGCAGCCTAGCCACTTTGAGCTCAGTAACTGCGCCTCGCACGCAATGACAGGGATGCCAGTTTGATACGGCAGAATGGGGATTGGGAGTCTTGTGCCGCCCAGAAGACTGGGGAAAACCCCAGCACCCACCATGGTGTCCCCCTGATAGTGGTGGGCAGACACAGGGACACACTTGATACAAGCACTGCCTGTTTCGGTGTGGAGAAGAGAAACATGGCCCAAAGGATTCCATTCTGCCGACTCTTCCTGGCCCCCAGCCAATCCTGGAAAAGCTGTGTTCCTTCATTGATTTACCTGTGAAAGTTATAATATTATTTAATTTCCTTTATCATAAAACATTACTAAACCCCTCATTTTCTTACTTTCCCAGAAAAAATGAGCAGGGCCATGAGGCCACTTAAGTCCCATTAGAAGAAGGAATGACCCATTACCAGAGAAAAGTCCGGTTCCTTATCTGGTTCTTTCCTAAGGGGGTTTTTGCCCTGGGTCCTGAAGCCAAGGCTCATCTCAGGAATCTATGTCTGTTGAGCTCAAGTTTCAAATCTCTGAATCACACAGCAAAAGAAATGGCAGGGTAGTCGCAACGAATGCATCTCACTGGTTTTAATTGGAAGCAAATGTAGGCATCTTAATTTGTATCATTAGAATGCCATACATGGATGTGCTTATCTTGTTTAAAGACTGGTTGAGTTTCTAACAAGAATAAAACAAAATCCCCGTAATCCCGTGGGCCAACAGTGTAAACTTTTCTCCATAGCTAAGAAAAGGCCAAGTGTCTTTTTTTTTTTTTAAACACTAAATTGCCCGGGTGGGGTTTGAATTTGTGACCCTCCTGCCTCAGCCCGTCAGACTGCTGGTATTACAGGTGTCACACATAAATACCGTATGTAATAGAGAAAGCATTCTGTATCTGGGGCTTCTAATACATGAATTGGTAGTGAAAACTGGTATTCATGAAGACACTATTTTCAAAGGTAGATATAGATACAACATATTAAAGTGTTTTTGAGGGTAGCAATGAATAAACAAGAAATGACTGGAGGGGCCAGAGATTTAGCTCAATGGCATAAGTGCCTGCCTTACAAGCACATGGTCCTGCGTTCAATCCCAGATACCAAAAAAAAGGGGGGGGGGGCTACAGTAGTTCAGCATAGTATTTTACTATGATTAACAGCATCAATAATGCCACCTTACCAGGTCCAGAAACCTGCTACCTGGCTGGGCCTGACATCACATCCTCAGGTCACAAGTTCAAACCCAGCCTGGGCAACTTAGCAATTCAGGGAGAACTTATCTCAAAAGGTTTTTTTAAAAAGACACGGGGATGTAGCTCAGTGTGAGAGCTGAGGGCTCATTTCCCAATTCCTAAAGTGACCTGGGGAACAGATATATTCTCTATCTGTCTCTGTCTGTTTCTATCTCTGTCTCTCTGTCTCCCTCTATCTCTGAGATCCTCTTTAAAGGGATCTGGAATGGAGTAAAGGAGAACAGAAAGAAGCTTGATTTTTTTTTTTTTTAATTGATACCAAGGATTGAACTCACGACCGCCTGCTTGCAAGGCAGGTGCTTATGCCGCTGAGCTAAATCCCCAGCCCCCGAGAAGCTTGATTTTTAAAAAACAAGACCAAGACAGACTAGAGAAAGAAATGTCACCTGGAGGAGTGTTTAACAGGGTTTCTGTCCTGGAATGAGACGCGGGGAAAACACTAACAGTTGGAGTGTGGGGATCAAAGAACTGCAGGACGGAGGCTGGGTGTTTTTCCCTGTGGTGCTTGAAAATTCTGGTTGCAATTCTCTTCCATGTAGGTCCTGATCAGATTCCTCTCAGGGAAGAATTCGAGCAGATTATGCTGAAAGCTATGCAGGAATTTACCCTGAGAGAGCGAGCCCTGCAGGTGGGCGCCTCCTGCGCCTCTGTGTCGCCGGGACAGCTCCCCTGGCTGGCTAGGTTAATCGCCAGTGTGTCCCAAGACTTGGTCCATGTGATGGTGACCCAGAACTCTTTGGCCGAGGGCATTTCAGAGACGCTGAGGATTCTCAGCGAAATGAGACACTACCAAAGGCTTCCAGATTACGTCGTGGCAATTTGTGCTTCAAAAATCAGAGGAAATGAATTCTGTGTGGTGGTACTCGGTGGGTTTTTTGTTGTTGTTTATTTAATGTCTTCAACTGTCCTTCATTCTCAAAAGTAGTGATTGTCCCTGGCATCTCTGTAATCGCCCTTTGGCAGCTGCTCCCGCCTGGGCTCTTCCTCCTAATTAGCACTTCTCCTTTCCTCCACTGTCAGCTGGCTGTGGGGCGTCTGTGAGCTCACCCATGTAACAGATACCCTTGTCTCATGTCGTTTCTGTCCTTAAAAGGCCTTGGAAATGTTACGGCACTAACATGTGATAATGCTATGCCACAGGTGCCTGTGCCAGTCTGTCAGACGGCCAGAACTTGGCTCATGCATTCCCCTCCTCTCTGAAGAGGCTATTTTAGAATATCAACCCCAAAGACCACGTCCCACGAGTTGGTACGTGACAGATCATGCAGGGCCTTTCCCCGCTTATGTGCTGATTTTCCATTAGGCACCGCGCTCTGTAACCATTTGTGCTGAATTTTGCTTCTCTCTGGTCTGTGTTGAGTGGTGCTCACCGTTTCCTCCTGAAACAGACACACACACACACACACACACACACACACACACACACACACACTTCCTTTGGAAAACCCTGTCTGCCCATCCCTTTGTGTATGTATTTTTAGAAAGCACCACCAGACAGTGTGATACATTAATTTTTTTCAGATTCATTTGTAAAAACAATAAAAAATTTATGTTGAAGACAAAACTTTATAATTGGACAAGAACAATTTCCTAGTTTCCCTTACTCTTCCCTAGTCTTTAAATATATGCCTGCATATATTTCACAACTACACACTTAGGTGTGTGGTCATCTCTATTGGTCACCTAGCATTCTGGTGTAAACCTTTCCTGTTGTCTGTGGTCGTTCATTGATGATTCAAACATGAATGATGAATCGATGGTCCACATCTTCTGAACCACCACACTTTTCTGAACCAAGTGCCTGTCTTTCTGATCCTTTAGTTTAGTTTGCAGCCGTGGTGGCTGTGACTAACATTCTGGCCAAGCTTTGTCATCGCTCTTCCGTTTTCAGGTCAGCATCAGTCTCGAGCACTGGCTGAGAGCATGCTCACCACAAGTGAGTTTTTGAAGGAAATCAGTTATGAGCTCATCACAGGAAAGGTCAGTTTCCTGGCATCACATTTCAAAACCACGTCATTAGGTAAGTGGCTGTAAGACTTGGCTGCACTGGCAGCCCCGGCTGCATGACAGTGTGGATGTAACCCTTGGCCTGCGGAGGAGATGGAGACGCGTGTGGGGCTGCAGCTTGCCAGCTGATCTTTCCTTGGAATAGTTAGTTCCTCCTCAGAAGGCTGGGACCAGTCCCTCAGGAAGTGGGCAGGCCCACAGGAGGGCTCACGGGGGCTGGGGTCCAAGCCGCAGCTCAGCTACCCCTTTGGTGCATGACTGAGACAGCCATCCTCTCCCCACAGCTCCCAGCATTTTGATTTGTCACTGGGAGAGAGAAAAATCCCATCGACTGCCTGGGCTACTGTGGAGATCCCGGAGGAAAGCTTGTCTGCTATAAATGTGATACCAGCAAGGGTGGATCTTGCTGTGGGGAACTCCGTAGAGCTCAGAGGTGTAAACCCTGAGATGAATCGCTGGCTGACCCACAGACCTCAGTGACAGTCAGCTTAACTCCCCACCTTGGAGGCCAATAGGGAAGACACAGCCTTTCACGCTCCTTCTCTCCACTCTGTTTTGACACAGGCGATGACCTGGACAGGCTGCTAGAAAAAATGCAACAAAGAAGAGGAGACAGCGTGGTCACCCCTTTTAACGGAGAGCTCAGCGAACGTGTGTCACTGCATGAGGCTGCTGCAATGGTTCCCACGCAAAACCTGGGTAATGTCACCTCAGACGGAGAGCAGGAAGGCAGTCCTTGGGACACCATTATTGACACTAAATCACTCGGGGTTTGGGGAGTCCTCAAGCCATGGACCACAACAGGCTTCACTTCATTGTCTACATAACAGCTCAGATGGTTCAGATGCAAAATACCATTCCCACTGGTCTGGGTCAAAAGCTTTCTTTTTAGTAGAAGTCTAAAATTAAAAGCAGAATCAAATGTTTTATTTTAAATGAGCTCTTTTTCTCTGAAAAGTTCCAGGATCCTGAGTGGTCTTTTTTTTCCTTTTCCTTAGCTCTACCAGCCATGCCCAGTGAGTTGCTGTGCTTACTAAGGGAACCTAGAGTCTAGACTCCAGCTCCTTTGCTCACTTTCTGACTTTTGTAAAACCCACATAATCTCAGGGAGAGTGTGTTCCCCAAATCCATCACCTGCTGGACCATGCTGGGGCCCATCTGTAACTGAGAGCCAGGTGGGAGGAATCTGGACGTTAGATTGAGTTCCTCTGGGTTAAATTCCTTCCCTGGCTCATTGATTGACAGGGAAAACACAGGCAAGGACAGGAAGAAGAACAGATAGGAAACAGACCCACATGAGCTGCTGCTGAGGCCATTTGGGCCGCCTCTGTGGGGCTGAGTCATTTACATCTGAGGGCAATAAAAGCAGCCTGGCTGGGCCTCAGCTCAGTCCCTAAGCAAACGCAAATGCAGGCCATAAAATGTTCTGCCTTCTAGATTGTGTCTGGTAGTAGAGCGATCATCCAGATGATCTGTTTTGAATTGTTAACAAATATAGAATTTAAATATTCCTTGAGTACTTACAGATCCAGAACATACAGAAGTACAAGCCTTGGTTTCCTATTTATATAATGTTGCTTAAACATAATTTTGTATTAACTCACATTTCAAAATCTGCCAAAGTAAATCCTACAAATTAATGCACATGTTTAGTCCTTGCTCATCAAAGCTGTGAAATGAAGGATGTAGCAGCCTAACTATAGCAAAGACAGATTTATTGGGTTTGTAGTCTTTATAGGCCAAAAAAACAAAACTATTTGGGACGCTTCTTTTTGGCAGTGCTGGGACTTGAACCCAGAGCCTTGTGCCTGCGAGGCTAGTGTGCTACGTGGAGCCCTGCCCCTAGTCTCACTGCTGAGATTTGCAACGCTGGTCTCTGCTAACAGTGCTCTCTGCTGTATCTGTCTGGCTTACAGCCGGAATCCACCATACATGGGATGTTGCGAGCACTGCCTGCCTCAGCTGCATGGCAGTTTGAGTTTAGAAAACATTAATTAGCACAGGTTAATTAGGCCCTTGGGCTTGTATTCCAGCCAACATGTGTTCTTGATGAAAAGCAGCCCTGCAGGCAGTGGTGGCAAGCTTAGGACATAGGCCGCTTGTCACCAGTGAAAGCTCTAAAAGGTTCCCCTTCACCCTCTTAGACGATCAGAGGCAGCTGCTGAGGTGTTTCCTTATGATGCCCGTCTCTTCACTGTGTGTGGACATGCATGCAAACATCCAGAGATTGATTGCCTGGTTACAGCCTGCAGTAAAAAGCTACTGACAGGCACAGCTGTCTGGACAGGGTTGTGTGACACATCACAGCCTGAAAGGCCAGCTGGCTGTATCACGAGTCAGTCCCGTCAGAAAGTCCTGGCTTCAGCACTGGCGCAGGCTGTCCGAGGCACACAGCTCTGCCAGGTCACAAGCGCTGGCAAAGTTCAGTTGAGTTGGAAGCAGGGTCAGAGTTGTGTCCCTGTGACCTCCTTGTCTGGCCGCTGGGAGAGGCATTTCAGGCTGTGTTGACTTGTGGCAGAGAAGGGTTGACTGCAGTACCATCCAGAAAAGTGACCCAGAATTATCCTAGTTACGGATCACCTCCCACCCAGAGCCGGAGCTGGGCTCCCATGGAAGCCTATACTGAGATTCCAAAAACACCGGCTGCTCTGCCCGGTCTGCTGATGAGTCCTGGCTCAGCCTGAAGCTGGAATCTGCCTCTCCCATCGACAGGCTGGGCCAGGGAGTGGGACTGGGCATCGGTAGGATGATCCATCGATTTTAAACTAATGCCTTTGTAAAAGCACCACATGCAACTCCTGGGCACATCTTCCCAGCTGAGTTTTCAGGAAAAGTAGCCAATGAGACAAGCAAGTGAGGATTCTCGGTGATGGAGATTGATTACTACACATTTGTGTCCCCATATGAATGCACAGGGACCATCACAGAAGTGAATTAATCTTGTTCTTATAACTTTTTTTGATTTTAGATTTAGATACTGAAACCTTCCAAATTTATCAACCACAGCTTACGGTGGCCAGAAAACTCTTATCCCAGGTATGTGCCATTGCGGACAGCGGCAGCCAGAGCCTGGACCTTGGCCACTTCAGCAAAGTGGACTTCATCATCATCGTCCCGAGGTCGGAGGTCCTGGTCCAGCAAACACTGCAGCGGGTTCGACAATCAGGTAAGAGCAGAGCTTCTAAGACGGCCCCAGCCGGGCCCAGTATCCCCTCTGCCTCTTTCTTCTGCTTAGTCCCAGCGTTACAGATCCTTAAGACAATCTTCAGAAATAAAATCATACAAGCACCTTGACTGCTCTTTCATACTCATCTGTAAGTTTTTCCTCGGGGAACCTATGTTTCCCCCTCCAAGTCAAGGGTAAATTGATGAGCATGTTTGCCACAAACTGGGAAGTCCACGGTATGCTGCAGAGGACGGAGGACGGGAATCTCGGGTTCCTCCAGGGAAGGGCAGGCCGTGGGGAGGACGGAGTCTTTCCTGAGCTCCCCTCTGCCCAGACACTCGCACCCCCCGTGGCTTCCCAGCCCCTCAGCATAATGCCAGCAATTTCAGCTTAAAAACAAGAACCCCCTCCTCTGTGTTAAGAAGATGCCACCTCACTTAAAATCACAGTGCAGAATCTTTCCCAGGCACTTTGAGGAAAGAAGCAGGCAAGGAAAAGTATGTTCCCCCAGAAAATGTAAAAAGGTAGAGAACAAAACTTTTACAAGTCTGTGATAAGTAATATCCCTTATCAAAAATAAAATGTGCGTAGGATCACAGAAAGCTGGGAGTAATTTTAGAAAAGGGCTGACCCGAGGAAACCAGGTTGGAAAGGGAGCTCAGCAGTGTCCCCTTGCTTTGGGTTACTACCTTTAGCTGGGAGGATGGCACCCACTCAGTCTCACACACTCAGTCTTAGCTGGGGGGTGAACCTTTTTTTTTTTTTTTTTTTTGCCACAGTATTTTAGTTTCAATGTATTCGAAAGAGGAAAGAGAAACTCAGACCTGTTGAACTCCAGGCTTATGTGTTCCACACCTATCATACCCTGTCTCCCAAAGTTCGTTTTTGTGCAGATCACCAGGGGAGAGTGTTGGAATGCAGCAGAGCTCCTCCGATGGGCCTCGGGCAGGCTCTGGGCTTTGCGTTCTCCGGGTGATGCTTGTGCTCCTGGTAAGAGGACCACACTGTGGGGTGCATGGCTGAGTGAGAAAGCACCCTTGTTAGCTGACTGCCAGGAGCTTTCCCTCCTCTCTTTTGCACCTCTCTCTATGGTTGTGACCAGCACACAGGAAGCCTTGGACACAGCCAATGGATGCCCAAGTACAGTCCCCTTTCCAACCTCTAAATGCCAAGTTATAAAATGACTTCTTGGAAGTACTGATTTGTAAGTGACAAGTGGATGAAGGACAGACACCTTCTGTCACAGCTCTCCAGAACCCAATGTGCGTGCCAGGCTCTCTCAGCTGCCAGCTGTTTCTGCCCCTCCATCAGAAGAAATGGGTGGGTTCCCATGCACCAAGCAGCAACTCTATATCCCATCACCTCTTCCATATTTTCTGTTCCACACATGCCTTCTTCTTTCGGCATTTTACGTGAACCATATTTAGAAATTTGTCACCCTGCAGATGTTGGCCTGCAGCCCCCTCCACTGTGATCTGATATCCCAAGCCAGGCAAGCATGGGCACACATGTTGAGAGTGACAGACTCATCTGCAGAGTCTTTCCCTGAAGTAGCCTCTCCCTGACCTGCTCTTTGACCTTGTGTAGTAAGTCCAGGCCCTGCAAGAAAACCTTGCCCTTTGGATAAATGGAGAAATTAGTAGATCTCTTTTCCTGTGTCAGAACCCTCAGATTTTTCTAAAACAAGTTTTTTCAAGATTGCCATCCCTCAAAAACAAAACAACAACAACAACAAAAAACCCTCCCAGAATGTGACCCATTATGTAAGCTTAGAATCTAAAGGGGAAAATCAGTGTCCTGGACAGATTTGGAAAAGTCAGAGGAAAGCTTGTTTTGACAGTCACATGGAGCTTTGGCATACATACAGAAATTTTTGCTGCAAAAATAATCACTCTTGTGTATTTAAAATAACTTTTTGGGCTAAGGACATAGTTCAGTGGTAAAGCACCTGCCTAGAAAGTGCAAAGCCCTGGGTTCAATTCCAAGGACAAAAGAGAAAAAACAGATAAAATAAAAATTCATTTTTATTATAGAAAAAGATAACTATGAAATTGTCTTGAAAAATAAAGAAACAAAGGAAAACAAACATTTGTGGGCTGGGTTATCACTCACTGGTGGTGTGTCCTTCACATGCTTAAGGTCCTGGGTCCCCAGAACACCCCATATTAGACGTGTAGCCCCACCCCTCAAGAAGACCACTGTGAACATTTTATTGCTAACAAATGACTTTTTACCTAGTACTTTTTACCTTCTTCCCTGCCTGTCGTAAGCAGTGTGTTTCTCCTTTCTTGTGTTTTGGTTGTACTAGAGATACACAGAATTCCTTCTCGGCCCCTTTTTTATTTTGAGACGAGATCTCAGTGAGTTGTTAATTTGCTTAGCTTGACTTCAGGCTTTTGATCCTCTGCCTCAACCTCCCAGAGTTACAGCTGTGCACCACCAGGCCTGACTGTATGCAGCATTCGTCATGAATATATAATAGTTCATGTTACACCCGGATTGATTTGTCTTGATGCTTTTGCATTCTTAGAACATGTACCAATTGATAAAAAATAAAAGCCTATATATATGTTAAGGCATAAAAAGAAACTGTCCAGGGCAGAATAAATAGTTTGCAAGAGATTATTCGTTGGTCAAATATCACAGCTGTTAAAACAGAAAGAGTTGCCAAGACGTTGTCTGGTGGAGTTCCCTCATGCTGGGTCACCGAGGACAGCTTGGTTCTTTGGGGGTGCAGCCGGCGGTGCCTTGAAGGACCCTTTTCTTGTCCTTGACTCTCGTCCTTGAATACCTCCAGGTCTGTCTGATGCCTCTCCTGGCCAGGGACAGCAGGTGCTCCGCTGGTGTTTGAATAGAGGGAAAGAAGGAACAGGCAGAGGAAAAATAATGTCCATGGTCTCTGCTTCCTGGTTTTATTTGTCTGCTTCCTTAAAGCATTTCAGCAAAGCTCCCGGAAGGGAGAAGCTGCCAGAGCAGAAAGGGCACACGCTTGGCAGCCCGTGTGGGGCTGAACGTAGAGCTGGAAATGGAAACCATCGCGTGGCTGCAGACACAGCACTAGAGCAAGGCGTTTGCTAATCAGCTCACAGCCTGATTATAGAGGAAGGGGAGAAGGGACAGAGAGGGGCAAACCAGGACAAAGGGACGTGGAAGGCATTTGAAGGTGCAAAAGGAGGAAAACGGGCTAAACATTTTCAAATTTACCCAAAGTACACTTGCAGCTGCTGGAGTGATCAGTGGACAATAGGAACTTTTTTTTTTTTTTTTGTAGACAGTCTTACTATGGAGGCTGGCCCTGAACTCACTACATAGCCCAAACTCACCGATCCTCCTGCCTCAGCCTCCCAAATGCTGGGATTACAGATATACACCCCCATGTCCAAAAAGAACATTTTTTATAGTTCAAGAGTACTTCAGTGTTAGTGTCACTTTAAACAATATATATGAAATTGGGTCAGCTCAGTGGCGTAGCACCTGCTTAGCAAGTGTGAGGTCGTGAGTATGATTTCTAGTATTAAAAAAAAGACTAAAAAAAAAATGAAATTGTAATGTAATTTTTCTAGTTGGAATACTCTGTATCTTATTAACTAGACTATTACTAGGATAGTGGAACCACCAAAATGCAAGCCACTTCAGTCCAAGGTAGAGGGAGTAGAATTGGGGGACATCCTGACTGTATGTCTGTTCTTGGTTTTCACATGGTGTCCATAGAAGACCCCAGCAAGCTAGTGCTGGGCCGGCAGTTGTGGCCAGGAAGTTTTATCCTACTCAAGAATGAAAACTGGGTTCTGGGGGCTGGGAATTTAGCTCAGCGGCATAAGCACCTGCCTTGCAAGCAGGCAGTCGTGAGTTCGATCCCCGGTACCGATAAAAAAGAAAAAGACACCAAAAAAAAAAAAGAAAAGAAAACTGGGTTCTGTCACATGTTTGCGTGGCTGTGAGAGAGACACAAAGAGGATGGCCTGCTGGGTCAGGCGGTCACTCTGCCCAAGCAGGACAAGGAGGTTGTAAAGAGTGAGGAGAGAATTCTGAGACACATTTTCTTGGTCTTGTCAACCTTCTGTCTCCTCCGTGACCACCTAGAATCTCATGAGGTGGAAGACGGTGTTTCCCGGGCGGGGACCAAGGTAGCCTGCTGTAATCCTTGCCCTTCAAGGGGAGAGGCAAAGGGTCATAAGTTCAAGCCTAGCTTGGGCAATTTAGTGACAAGAGCCTGTTTCAAAATGTAAAATCAGGGCTGGCGATTTAGCTCAGTGGCATGAGTGCCTGCTTGGCAAGCACAAGGTCATGAGTTCGATCCCTGGTACCAAAAAAGAAAACAAAATGTAAAATTAAAAAGGCGCTGGGGGTATGGCTCAGTACAAGGGCCCTGGATTCAATGCCCTGCTGTGCAAAAATGAATAAAGCAGTGACAGGTTTGGAGGTGGATGGGGGAGAGTCCCAGGGATCCACCGCTCCAGAGAAACAGAGAACAGAGATGGCTTCCTGCAGATGTGACTACGTGTCCACTCATGTCCAGGGGGACAGTGCAGCCAGCGTCCCTGCACCTTCAGTCCCATGACCTCAACACCTTGGCCCTGGCACCACCCCCTGCCCAAGCTGCATCCTAGACGCTGGGGTCTGGGGTCCACATGGGGAAGATTGCTCCTGCAGCCGCAGAGGCCTTGCCGAGCCCTGAGGGACAGGGGTCGTTCCCAGGGACCCCCCACTGCTGATAGCTACTGATATTTCCTCGGTCATTGCCACTTCCCACACTTTGCATGGTCAGAGCCCACCCCACTCGCAACACAAAGAAAGCCAGAGTGGTCAGCGGAGGTTTCCCTGGAGAGGACGCAGGTCAAGCCCTGCACACCAGCGCCCCTCAGTGCCCGCCCGCGGTCTCCCTCCATCCTACTCCCTCATCTCCTACTCACACAGCAGCAACCTGCGCCTGGCCACTGGGCCTGCCACCCTCCCAATGCCACCCTGACCGCTTCGGCCCTTGTGGCTGAGCTCTCCAC